CCCTCACTGCTGAACCTTCTCCCTAAAGCCCTTTCAAGCTAAATCAACCTTATTCCAACAGCCCAGCTCCCAAACCCAGCAGCCTGGGGTGGGATGAAGCGCAGGAATAGCAAATCCTCCCCCTCGTCCCCGTCCCTGCCGACCTCGCTCCCGATTTGTGTTTAATTCCAGCCTTTCCCTGCCCCATCAGCGACAACGTGTTTGGAGTGAAGCGAGGGGTGGCCTGGGAGGATGAGAGGAGGGTGATTGTCAGGGAGGGAAGGGGAATGGAGGCCTGGGTTCGGTCAGATGCGAGGATGCTCCCGGTGTTTTCCATCGGCTCTCGGGAGATGGATCTCACAGCCAGGGCAATGCACGCTTCTGCTTTTCACACTCCAGGCTCGTTGTGCCTTAAATAAACATGGAATCCTGCTTTTAGCCGCTCTGCATCTCCAGCCTGGGCTGGAAACATCCCTGTCCCACGAAATGTGGCATTCCTGCAGCTTGCATGGGACGAGGACATGGTGGCACGTGTGTGTGGGCACGGCCGGGGCTCGATGTGCAAGGGCTTCCTTGCCCCAAAAGAATTTCCTCACTCAAAAAGTATTTCCTTGCCCCAAGAAAAGGTTTCCTTGCCCAAAAAATGGGTTTCCTTGAGCCTGAAAGGTTTCCCTGCCCAAAAAGGGTTTCCTTGCCTAAAAAGGATTTTCTCACCCCAAAAAAAAGTGTTTCCTCACCCCCAAAAAGTGTTTCCTTGCCCCAAAAGGAGTTCCCCACCCAAAAAGGGTTTCCTTGCTCCGAAAAGCATTTCCTTTTCCCACAAGAAGGGTCTCCTTGACCTAAAAAAAAAAAAAAATCATTTTCCTGGCCCCCCAAAAATGTTTTTCTCAACCCAGGCAGCCGGAGCGTCCGAGGGCCCGGAGCGGGTGCGAGGGGAATGCCAGGGAAGGCGGGATGGGGCTGGATAAGTGGCAGCGCTGCCGGAGCAGCTGTGCTCTTATCTGGCCCGAGGAAGGGGCTCCACAACAAAGGGGGGCTCAGGAGCCGGGGTGATCCATGGGAAAGCCATTGGCCCGGCATTGTGGCTGCCCTTCTGCTGAGCAAATAGTTCAAACTGTTCATTCCCATCTCCTATTCTCTCCCTGGTACATTGTTTGTGTCCTTGCATTTCATTCCCGAGCAAGATTGCTCTCTGGGCCTATAAGCAAACAGTCCAGAAAAGAGCCAGCTATCCTCTCCTTTTCCCTGGAGAACTAGCATTTTTATTTCAGCTCCAAGCTGTCAAAGAGCTGGAGAGTTTATGTCAGTATCCTGAATTAATTGCTTTAAGCTGGAGCAGCCTCTGCCCGCCACCAAATGTCCAGAAGATGTTTATTAATAATGTTTCCTCCGGGTTTGTTTTTTTCTGATGGGTGGGTGGGATTTTTTGTGGGGTTTTTTTTTTTGGTTTTGGTTTTGTTGGTTTTTTTTTTGTTCCAAGCTGTGCTCTCACATACTGTGCCCTCTATTAACCGCCTGGCGCCGGGCGAGGTGGGGAAATGAAAGCTGCTTACAGGGAATTAATACCAGCTCCCGAGGTTTCGCCGGCACGGCGGGCACGGGAAGCTCCCGTTAGGACTTTTCGGGCACCGGGAAGGAGAGGAGGACGATGGGTTGCAGGGGAAGGTGTTTAAACACAAATATCTTCGGTAATTAACGAAAGTGGCGAGGAAATTACCCACAGAAAAAAAAAAAAAAAAACAAACACCAAACCAAAACACGCAGGAGGTAAATGGTTTTGTGTTTAAACATGATATATTTTAAAGTGTTCCCCGGTGTGAAAGTCCCTGTTTAAGGGAATGAAGTAATAAAGCAATTTATATACCAATAGAAAGTCGAGATCCTGAGTGCCTTTGTGTAAATTTTCCACTTGACTTTTCATTATCTACCTGAACAAAATCAATCTATATGTATGGGATCAACATGCAATAGGAGAGATAAAAGCCGGAATAAATGTGCTTTGCATATCCCACCGATAAAAGCCCCCCGGCTCCGGGCGCTGCCTCCTTTCCAGGCAGATGCATTTTCGGGAATAAATCATTTTGCGGAGGGAAGGAGAGCGAAGCGGGAGTGGGGCTGCCTCGAGTGTTTGCTCCCTCGCCTGAAATATTGATCCTGTCAAATGAACAGCCGTTAATAAGTAACTCGGGAAAAATATGCCGGCTCTGCCTTTGCTCCCGCCGGAGCACGGACACGGCTCCGGGGCCGGCCTGGCCATGGGCCCCAGGCAGGGGGAGCAAAGGGAGGGAAGGGGACAGGGCAGGAGAGGGGGACAGGTCCTGGCATCCCTTAGGGAGCCCTCAAACCCCCCAGGCATTCGGCATCCCATGCTGTATCCAGAACCCTGCCGTATCCCAAACCCACTGTACCCCAAACCCTGCTGCATCCCAAACCCACTGTATGCCAAACCCTGCTGCATCCCAAACCCTGCTGCATCCCAAACCCTGCTGCATCCCAAACCCTGCTGCATCCCAAATCCTGCTGCATCCCAAACCCTGTTATACTCCAAACCCCATTATATTTCCCAAACCCTGCTTTATCCCAAACCCTGCTGC